TATGTAGTGTCACCTGTTACTTTATTTCTTTTTGCTTGACCCAACAACCCTTTTGAGAGGTGTATTAATGAGAAGACTAAGACTCAAAGGGGTCAAGAGGCTTGCAAAGTCCATTTAACTGGTTCATACAAAGCATGCAAATAGACCCATCTCCCTGCATTCTCCAGTTCAGCTTTCCTCCCTGACTTCCCAGTTTAAATGGAGAAAATTTGAAAATATTCAAGAAAATCCTCATTTGGAAGATTATATCTGAACTTGCTAAAACCATCAGTTAAGATGACTATTTTAATTCTCAGGGACAACTTATTTTATTCAGTACTTGTTTTTCTTTTTCTGTATGTGGAACATTGGAATGAGATCACAAATAAAACCAAGTTCCAGTTGAGGCCACTTTCAGAACAAGAGAAATGAGGATGTAGATGCAGATGCAAAGCAATTAAGTATTTTCACCAGACATAATTGGACTATTGGGATTTAAAAATATAACTGATCTACTTGGATTTATGTAATTGTTGGTTTTTACCTTAAATTTAGAAGCATTAAACTAGTTCCATATCACATTTTAAACTGTTCTGTCTCTATAGGTCTCTACACCTAGAATTTAAAGACTGATTCATAAAAAATCTTTTCACTTTAGGCTTTTAAATGATCGGTGTGGCTGTCTGCATGCATTCTGGGTGTTGATTCTGAAGGATGACTATGCTTTGATCTAGATTATCAGTCTCATTGTCCTAGTTATCATCTTATTTTGATTATCTTCTTTCTAAAGTACTATACCTATTATTAGTCACCATTAAAATAATGACTTGTGATTATTTTGTTGCAGCAGTGCTTTATAACATTCTAATATCTTGTAAACCAGATTTATTTTGACATGTTAGGCAGTAAGGGTATGTGATTAGAATTAAATATTAAAATACAAATTAAGAAGAATGTTAATTTATTTGATTCTGAAAGCTTATTAACTGAACAAGACTCTGATTTTTTATCTATTTTGAGTATCTAATGTCAGCAATAGCATGTTCATAGCATACCTCATTAAGTAAAGTAATTTAACAAAAAATTGTGTCCAAATGAATGCAAATAGCTTATAAAAGCACAAATAAAATTGAATTTGTGTGAAGAAGTATTTGCCTACGTCTAGACACTAGGTAATTAATTTCTACACATTCCCTAGAAATAGAGAATTTCATCAAGTTTTACTTAACCTTTGGATTTTCAAGAAGACTATGTAACATTAAAATTTTTTAAAAAGCAGTAAATCACTTTTTCCCCAAATTGCTATTTTTCCAAGAAAATTTGCACCATTTTAGAATGATCTGCCATTTATTTCTTTAGTCTATCTTTGCATTGTTTTCCACATTGATACAAATTTTTAAAATATAGAAGGAACTTGAACCTAAACAGGAAGTCAAAATAATAAGCAATGTTTTTGTTGTTGTTGTTGTTGTTATTGTTTTCTAGCAACGATAACACTTTTGAAGGCAAATCAGTCTGGATGCCTGAATCAATTAATCAACAAATAGAGACTCTATCATTTGTGGGGCACTATTTGAGTCCAATTCTGTACCAAGGACTGTGTCCTTGGGAAATGGCTGTCTTTTCATGATGATCTAGTTACCTAGAAGTTCCAGAATTCAGTGTACCACTATACATGGAACATTCTTTAGGCCCCATGCATGACATGACCAATTTTTAAATTGATTTTAAAGGATGGTTTTTAAAGACATTTTAAACATATTTTAATTTTCACATTACATTTTCCTGTTAGACGATTACTAGCCTTTACTTATTTATGTATTTGTCTATTTATT